AGACAAGCACGTGAGTTCAAGGGAAAGAGCAAGAAGCACGGCGCGGGCCGCAAACACGCGCGCAAGTCGCGCGAACAAGCTTCGAAAGCCGCGCCCTAGCCGAGCCGCCGTTTGACCGTAATAGCGTAATAGGGACGAGTGGGTTACCGCTCCCGATCGAATGCTCAGTTCCGTTCTTCATCCTTCTTCCCGCCCCATCCGGTCCGTCGGAGCGGAGTTCGTCGTTTGGACCACCGGAATCGGTGAACCAATCTCCTCCGTCGAGGCGAGTGTCATCGGGAACGCGAGACCCGCGGAACCATGAAAAAGGAAAGTAACCGCTAACGATGGCAGACGAGTTACGACCGCCTCGCAACCGAGAGAGAACCGACGGCAGACTGCGCAAGTAGACCATGAACACGTGAAACGAATCTTTCGGAACTAGTTAATTAACAAGATCATTAAACGGAGGAGAGTCCGAGCTGTTTACTCGGCATTCCTGAGAAACTCGTCCGCTCGGGTTCTCCTCGTTTCAACGGAGGAGAGCCGCGGCTGTCGGAGCTCACGATTCCGGTTTACCACTCGAAATTACCGATTCATGAATGAATCGTTAACACGTTAAGTGCTGCGAAGATATTGAGCGTTTTATGGTTTTCCATTTTTCTAGGTATCCTTTTTAGAAATTCGCGTTGCAATCTTTCACGTTAAACATTTTGCTTCGTCTATCTTGTTACGATTGTTCTCAAGTAATTTTGTAGTTTCAGTCATCGCTGACATTTAACGTGTTAAGATCGGAAGTGTTCGTCGATCGAGGATTAGATTCTTTCTTTCGCAGTGCTTTGGAGACGCTTGACGGTAGTCGGATGGGCTCACATTGACAACGGTCTTACAAACGCTTCCAACCCTTTGCACTCGAAAGCCTTTGACTGGAAATCAACATTTTCCAACAACATATAGTCAACACCGTTTGAAACTGATTGACAATTCACAGATAAATTAAGCAGTACAGTTATTTCATTTAAATCTCTCACATAGCAATAGTTTAATTTAAAATACTAAATATCCAACTTCACTTTGCTGTATCAAATCAAGTGACTTTCACCTCTCGAGGGCAAAGGGTTAAATGTAAACCGATCATTCGGATTTGTTTATTTCCACAGTTTCCACGGTGCCGATGAACCCGTCGAGGATGCGTGTGACGCGATAATTTGTTGAAATAAAAACGAACGTCGGGAACGGCTGGCTCTGGTAGTAGTAGCGGTAATGGTAGCGGTAGCGGTAGCATTAGTATTTATTCTATTTATTAAGGTCGAGACCTCTGCTCGAAACGATTCGCGCGTCGGACAGCATGGTGAATTGATAACGCTCGGCCTCCTTGTGGGTTCCGGTACGCGTTCCTGTCCGACGGGCCTCGCACGGCTTCCAATTACGCCTTTCCGATGGAAAAGGGCCCCGCAACGGGGAGATTCATTGTACATAGCTAAAGTACTTGCAACTCGTGTGAGCGCTGTCCGATCAGCGAGCGCGGCGAAACGATTTCAACGGTGACAAGTGCCTTTTCCGACTGTCTGTCCGTGGTTCACCGTTTCCACTTTGTAGAGAGGAACGTCGACTATCTCACGATTCCCCATTGATTTCCTATACAGTACTGGTTTCCAACCTTTATTCTACCTAGAAAGAATTTTTCTTTAAGCTTAACTACTTTTGACGAATGTCATTTTGAAACTTCCTTGTTTCGAATAGAACAAATGATTAAATTATTTGACACTAGAACTACCAGGAAAAAGGACTGGTTTCGATTTTCTTGTTTAGCAATTATTGATATTTTCAAAGCGAATGTTCGAAATGATTTTGAAAATAAATGGTTTCATTTGAGTACTGTAATGAGTATCTGAAGAAACTGAGAATAATCTATTGTTACAATTTTTCATCTAGCTGAATTTCACTATTATGTAGCATTATTTATAATGTAGAAATGTTGTCATATAATTGTTTCATCGAGTGGATTATAGTACAATTCGATTTGGGGGTCACCGATGACCCATGGCATTCAACGTGTTAAATAGTAAATCAGTAGTTCTTATTCTATTCAAGCATTCAGTGTTTAACCCTTTGCACTCGAAAGTTTTCCACTTGTAACATTCTATACTTCCTAATTAGATGTAGACAAGATTCCTTAAAATGAACTTAACAAGAAATCATACATAAATTAGTTAACAAAGCTATTTTCTTTCAATATTTCGCGCATTGACGCAGTATACAAAGGTTAATGGTAGATTCCAAAGTTTATCATTTTTCTGTATCAAATCGTCTCTCAAGTGCAAAGGGTTAATTCAGCAGAATCTGCGAACGTTTTACTTCGAACAATCGTCAAAGGGTTAATAGATAATATCACGTTTGAAATAACTTTACAAAATAGACCACTGAGTTTGTTACGATACGAAGCTTGTTTGTAGATACGGTATTAACATTTCATTAACAATTTCGGCGCCGACATAGTCCTCCAGATTGGAAACCGCGGGGCAAAGTGTAAAAGGTGACGGCAGAGGAGAAGGTACTTGGACCGAAAGGCATCACGGACGGCTTGGTGACCACACGTCGTTTTCTTTTCCTTCTTGATCCGTTCGTCGATCGATCGTCGAGTGAACGAAGAGCACAAGAGAGGTTCCGTGTGTTTGTACGTAAGAATGAGAGAAAGAGAGCCATAATATATTCGCGAGAGATCGGCCGATCGAAAATCGATGGGCCAGCGAGGCAAGCGACACCGTTAACGACCGCCGCATCCGAAGAAATTCCGTTTCTGCTTTCTACGCTCGCGTCGGGACAACAATCGCGCTTCTCGCCGCGAGTTCAAAGTAGAAACTCGCTTCCACCCCGTCGTGAAAAACGGATTCGTGCGTCGTCGAGTCGCTTTCATCGAACCTTCGATTCCGTCGTCGACGGGCGTCGCCTGCTTCCGCGGAAAAATTGGACTCGCAATGTTTCCCGTCTGCACAGAAAGCTTGTACAGAGACATTGTCCATTCTGGATACGCAAAATACAGATAACTTATTGTTTCTATAGAAAAAAACAAGAAACGAACTGTGTGTGTCTTGCCTTTTATTTCTCTCACCATATCGCGTCGAATCGGTTCTCCGCGTGCGCCCGCGCGCTCCGAAGGTTTTCTAGGTTCTCTCTTTCCCTTTTCTCTTCCTTCAGGAACCAACGAGAAAAATGCAAGTTGTTCGTCCGAAGATATCGCTTGGATTTTCCTCGAACGCGACGTGTGTCACCTGGCTCTTCGAATCCTTGCTTTTAACGTTTCCTTGTATAACATCGTCGAATCTCTTCTTCCTTCTCCATTTTGTTCTCTGTATCGCTGTCGCTCACTTTCCGTGGCTTCTAGTTAGAACAAGTTTGAAATGAATTAACTCATGGTGTTCCGAGACGTGCCCCGCGTCCGACGAAACGGGGTAAACCGGTGGCTAGCGAGGAAACGCGCAGGAACTGTTAATTAGCCGGTAATTGGTTGGCTCCGATGCCATCGGGCAATCAACTTTCTACACGACAACGAGACGAGGACCGATTAAGGTGTGACCGGGTTGAAATCTTTTTCTCGGCTTTCACCGAGCAGCTGGTCCGAAATGGAATGAGGCCGGTGACCTAGAGCGGACCGTGCCGCGACCCTGACCCACACCCAAAGTCACGGCTAGATCGTCCTCGATCGCGGAGCCACGTTCCTCGGACTCCCATCGAATTTCACACCGAAAACGACAAGTGGAACACGTCGAACCGTTACGGCTCTCGCGAACGATCGCTTCGCGCGATGCGCCGTCGTCACCGTTAGACTCGAAACGAATCGAATTTCACCTTTTTCCCCCGATCGCGATCAATTGCGTCAGATCGTGGGAAACTCGCGGAAGATCGATGGACGACGGGCAGACGCGTCTAGGATCGGATGGTAAGCTCGATTTCCGCGCAGGTTCCTTCCGGTAGAAATGAACATCGTTGACACGTTCACGCGTGTACCACCGGTGGCTCACAATAAGGTATCGCATTGGACAGTACCTTTGATGGCTCGTCAAGTGGTTTAATTAGGAAACATTGCCGTATAGTTGAGAATTTCATTTACTTATTGATAATTTCGATATTTTGAGAATGCAACCGGCAAATGAGAAAGACTGGAAATTACCGGCGTGTACCACCGGTGGCTCACAGTAAGATGTCACATTGGACACCTTTGATGACTCGTTAGACGGTAGCATCAGATATGTTGCTCGTCAAGTGATTTAATTAGGAAACATTGTATAGTTGAGAATTTCATTTACTCATTGATGATTTCAATAGTTTTATGAATTTTGAGAATTCAGCCGGCAAATGGGAAATAGTGGAAATTACAGCACTGTGAACGCGTTAAGCTCGCGCGCGTAGCGTTAAGCTATGCGATGAATCGACACGAAAAAGGTTCCGTGCGCCGACCTCGATGAATTAAGTTTGTAAGAAAGAGCAGAGCGACAATGATAACGGTACGCCGGAATCGTTCGGCGAAGCCAAACTGGTCTCCGATCTGGGCCACGACCTGCTTCCTACTCACCTACAGACCTATCTATGGTACCTGCCGGACGATCCTCGTGCGCGGACGCAGGGGGCAACCTTTTCCTCGCGTCCAACGGTGTAATTCGATGGATCAAACGATTCGTCTGTACTTAACCCTTTGCGGACGAATGTCGACGCTTTGCCGAGATATAACTTTCATGTTTGTAATATTAAGTTGCAAACAAATGATTCGAATACTCAAACAGTAAGAAACCAGTACATAATCTCCTTATTCTATATTATTTAGGCATTCGGTGATTTGGTAGAATCTACAAAAGGTTTTCTATACTCGTAGTTTAGAGAATATTCGTTCGCAAAGGGTTAATGACTATCGCCAGTGGAAGAGTCCCTAGACCTTTCTCCACTTTTTAGCTCAAAGGTCACCGAAGCTAACGAGTATAGTGCAACAGATCAAAGACTCAAAGCTAAAAAGCCAAAGAGACAAGAAGACACTAGAAGAGAGACTTAATGCAACGAAGTGATCTGTAATCATAGAAGACTCCGTCTTCTGTCGTTACGTCTTGGTTAACTTAATTAGATCTCGCTTCTGTCCTTATTTCCATTAACCAGTTAACTGCGTTCGACGAGTATACTAATTCCTTCAACGATAAATCGTTTAGTTTTTCCAAAGTTTAGTAATTCCACAGTTAACAGGTTAATGACCATCGTCAGTGGAAGAGTACCTAGACCTCTCTCCACTTTTTAGCTCAAAGGTCACCGAAGCCAACGCGATAGCTTCTCTCTAAAAACTCTCGCCGGCCGTTGATCTCGCTTAAGCCACTTTCTTCGAGGTAAACCCGCGCGTGTCGCCGTCCCGTGTAAACGACCGATCGATCGACGTTACAGGTGGCATGCGATCGGAACCGAGCAGCGACGTGTCGGCGATCTACGTGGCGAAGTACAATCGTTTCGTCGACACCATCCTCGGCAGGATCAACAAAATCCTACGCAGCAATTACGACCCGGTCACCGTGAAGCTCTCCAACGCGAACTCGAAATCGAAAACCGGCAAACAGAAGAGCAAGAGCAAGTCCAAGAAGAAGAACAACACCAAGAAGACCGTGCCGCACTCGGTAGTCGTCACGAGCGAAAAGATGGCGGAAGAGCCTCTCGAGAATCCGCAGGTCCGCGTCGGTTTTTAGTAGATTCGATACTTTCACGGCTTGGAATATTATATTTATAAGTAGCTTTCTAGTGAGACGTATCTAGTAGAAATGTATTAACTAGAATTATCGTCGAATTGACTTTTCGAAATTTTTCTATAGGAACTCGGTGTTATTGAAATTTCCATTGATACAATTCAGTTTGCTTGACGCTAAATCAATTTCTATAGTTATTTCTCCGACAATTATTGTAATAATTGTAAGGAGAAGGAATCAGTCGTTTTGACCTCTCTGGTCACCTTCCGGATCAGCAGTCACCGGTTTTTAATTGATCAGCTGAACGATTGATCCTTTGAATGTCGACATTTTACAAGATGAAACTTTGATATTTGGCATCTGTCGTAAACAAGTTTAGTTATCGAAAAAAGATCAATAAACAGTGGCAATAATTTTCTACTTCTCGCAGCTCTCTCAAAGCTGCAGATTTGCTTCGATGCTAATGTTACGAAACAATTTTTAGAAAACAATGGCGTCCTCAGGGAACACAACCATAACAGTAACCAACGCAGTGAACACAAGTACAACTTCCACGTCGGACGTCGCAAGCAGATCGGAACCCGCGAAATTCCCAAGCAGAAAAGCTTCCTCTACCACTGTGAAGAAGACCAATAAGAATCGCACCAAGAACAAAACGAAGAACCCGTCCACCGTGAACAGTAATAAGAATAAGGTAAGAATAAGGTAAAGTAAAGAATTCGTGGAGCCATTCAGCTGGAATTTGCGCAGTTAATCACTTGCCAAATTAAATTACATATCAATTACTTAATTAATAGGAAAGGAGGAAACTACTTTAACTTAATATTAAACTAAATAGAAAAGAAGGAAACTACTTTAACTTAATGCTAAACTTTGTATAATGCCTCGATACGTGAAACATCGGAATAAAATAGCTTTGTTCCTCAATGTACTGGTGATTGCTCTTCGAATTAGTCTCGAAGAACATCGTCTTCGCCTCGTAAAGAAATGTTAAATATTTCTAGTAAGAAACATCCGAGTACAAAGGGTTAATCAATTATTCCCATGACTTTCAGACGAAGAAAAGCAAGCCGAAAGCCCGTGCCACGCTTTACGGACTGGCGAGTCTTCAAAGAGCGGGGGATGTTTCCGTGAACATGATGAGCGACCACACCATGATCAAAACCAAGTTCACCCTTGGCCCTCTGATCTTGAAGGTGGAAAAGGAGTTCGGTCGGGCGGCGAAGAAGGAATTGAGAAGCGCGACCGCCACCACCGCAGAGATGTCCGGGAAATTGAGTCTACGGGTTCTCCATGGCGGCGCCGCCACCTTGAACTCCATTCGAGTCCTTCAACCGAAACAAGTAAGGGTTCACCCCTTGCGCTCCTGTGTCGAGTGTGGTAAATTGGGAGGATGAACTATGGTTTCGACGTTGAAGGATATTGTAAAGACGACTAGATTATTTGCAATAGTGTGATTCATTCTTTATTGTCTTTCGTTAATTTATTTGAAGATGGGGTGAGAAACGTATGAGGAATTGCTATTAATTTCAGTCGCTTTGCGTTATTCATAATTATGGCACAAGTATCATTGATATTAACCCTTTGTGATTCTTTGTTAAGATATTGTTCAGATAGATTATATTATTGTTGTCTTTGATATTATTAGTGAGAATTGTTTACGTTGCTCTCTGCAAACTGATTATTCTTTAAATTGTGTTTCAAAGAAAGTATGTGCTTCTTTGCCAAGATATTTTTAAAGTGGATCATATTATTGTGTCATCTTCAATGTTATTAGTAAGAAGAAGAAGCTCTCTACAAATTAACTATTCTTTAAATTGCATTTCAAAGAAAATATCCTAATGATACAGAGTCACCAAAGAAAACATGCAAAAGAAATTCAGAGCACAAAGGGTTGACATTTTGAGATGAAGTTCTCATGTTTCGAAGATCAAGATCATAAACAAATAATTTAATTACTCGAACACCAAGAGATCAGCGCATAGTTTGTTTTTCCTACCATTTAATTATTCATCTGCTGAATATTTTGTATATCTCAAAGAATCTTCGTCCGCAAAGACTTGTAATTTCATCAGCCATTCGTCATTATCGTGCTAACGAATGTTTTTGTTACAGGTCAGAGTGGAGAGCGCCGACGACCATGACAGAACTCGCGAGTTCGTATGGAAGAGGTCCTCCCACATCGCTCATTTAGTTTCGGAGAAATTATCCTCTGCTACCAAGTCAATGCTTCGACCTCCGCCCGTCGCAGTGATCGCCGCCTAGTTGAACCGCTTTCCCGATCCTCCAAGGTCTCGCCGGCTCGATCGGTTGAATCATTCGTTATCGATTTTATCAGAAAAGCAAACCCACTTATTCAGCAATTGAACCAACAGATACGTATACGTGGTAGAACTCTGAAGGACTCTCACGATACTCTTGACGCCGCGACGCTGTACAGGGTATCCGCGACAATTTGCACCGTCGGTTTTAGATTATTAACACTAAACCTACCGAGCAGTTAAATTCACTTTCTGAAATTCTTAGAGTATACTTGTTACTATATCAATTTCTTGAATAATCTCCTCAAGAAATATCTGTCATCCTTTTAATAATTGCAAAAAGAAGAAACCAGGAATGGGTCATTTTGACTCGTCTGGTAGGTTTAGTGTTAAATGGTAAACATTAGGAAACACGTTCAATGTTAACGCTTCGCAGTGTCTCGTTGGAAATATTTAGGATTTTCTAACTAGAAAATGATATTTTTTTTAATAAATTCAAAGTACATTGAGGAACAATTTTATTTTAATATTTTTTAAATTGATGAGTTATACACGGTTCAGTATTAAATATAATTTTATAATTTTACAGTTTTAGAGTCAAGAGACTCTTGAGTGATATATAATGTAGAAAGATATGTAGCATTGTATTGGAAAATATGAAGGTCACCTTTGTTTCTAGAGAAATATTAGAAATATACAAAATTTAGATAGGCTATTATATTGCTAGTGAAATGTACTACAACTTTCTCCTCTTCAGTTTTTTTCTAATGTTTACCGTTTAGGAAAAAACGAAATTAATGGTACAAATTATCGGGGATACCCTGTACATGTAGGAACATGTTGCTTACGGTTACGAAATTTGATTTATTATTCCACGATTGTATTTATTTATTCATTTATTTATCCGTGCATTTACCTGTTCACTTATTTATTTGCTTATTTATTTATTTATTTATTTATACATACATACATACATACGTCGACGCTGCGGTGAGTGTATTGTAAACAGAAATTAATTTCTTTTCTTTC